TCATGTGCCGGCTCTCTTTTTTAATTGGAGTGATGTCAGAGAGAGTAATATAGGTGTGCTATGATAGTCATGCTGTATTCATAATATAAATGATTTATCAATAGGTGACATGTGTTTGTGTTTCGAGCCTCTAAGTATTTGTTCTGTCCCGACCGTTGACTTGGTAGGGTGAGTGCGTGCAGCTGGTCTCGCTCCAGATGTGCGCTGTTTATATGCCCGGGCTGTTTATGGACATTTCACACTGACGAAGGTGTGACCAGAACAAATGAAAGGAGTGATGTAATGCAAAAGCCAAATGTAGAGGATTTTTCCACCTTTTTTTCCCTTCTGTAAAGCCTTTTCTGACGCACCTGCTACAGCAAGATCTGAATTTACAAGTTTTTCTGTTTCACAAGGAGTAAAAGCTTCGTATTTCATAGTTTTTCTCTTCTTTCTCCAACAGCTTTCTGCTGGCTAGAACGAAGCCGTGATGGATTGGATGGATACTAAACAGACCTGCATGCTTTTTAAAAACACAATACATGCCACGACATGGCCGGGAGTCAGAATAACTACTGGGGACAACATGACCTGAATAGGTACGTAAACAGCTCTCTATTACTGATAGAATCAAACTGTAAACAAGCAATCGTTTTTATTACTACGTTTGACGATACAAACACTACTTTATCTTTCATCATACAATGTCAGGAGAATAATTCTGGCACTTTGCATATTAAATACTTATTAAATACATACAACAACTCACAAAATGTTAAACATATAAAACAAAACATTCACTATCATAGATTTTAAATTCTTCCCTGAATTTATCCTCTAATTGTTTCTTTATGTCTGGTCCGGAATCCATCATATTCTTGAATGATTTTGTTTAGGTAGCAAAAACATTTACAATCTGTAATCTTTAAAGGGATCCAGATCCCTCTTCCAGGATGGAAAAACATGTAATATATAATCTACAGTGTAGACAGTATTAGAACAAAGTTTAATATAGGTAGGTAAAGGTAAATAAAGAACAAACATTCATGAAGAACACAGCTCATGAAGGACTTTGAGCTAGCTTCAATGGTGTTACATAATGTAAATAAATGAATGAGAACAGAACATATGTTCTTTTTTGAGCATATGTCATGCTTGTTATTTCCCATGTATAATGACTTACTCATGACAGGTTATGGGTAGGAATGATTTACACACATGCAAAGCTCTGTATGGATTTCTCAACCCACTCTTGTTTTTTTTAGAGAGTGCTTTGGCCTCAGTGCTGAAATGGAACAAAACCTGACGCCGCTTCAACAACAGCAAATGGCCAAGGAGTTAAATGGTGAGTCTTTATTGTGTTCTTATTTATTATTTTCCTTAATATAAGCTAATATTTCTTGATTTTACTACTAAGAAACAAATATATCAAAAACTGTTAACTAGTGCAGTTGTAATAAACTTGGGTGAACTTCACAGAATGTAAGTATTGATCTGATAACTGCTGGAATAGATTTTTTTAAATATTTGCTACTATGATCTGTTTTGGACCAATTGAGGTGAGCTACATTAGATAGCTGTTAAACCTTGATATAAAAAGAAACGTCAATCATTAGTGACATCAAATCTTGGTTAATTGTGAAATTAATCAAGATTTGAAAATAGGGCAACAAAATACTGTTAACAACGTACAGTGACAAATATCAGTATTTCTGACCATATTTTGTATCGTTTTAAATTGTTGGGAAACACTAACAGTGTTTGACAAGTGCTGTACAGTTTTGCTACTTTACCTACATTAATAAATCAAGTTCTGCCATTATAAATCTTGTTTCGGAAGTCCGTCTTGTCTGTCTTGGATTTACAAACTTAAGTTTAAAGTCCTGCTTGACCAATAAAAGGCGTGTAGACAGGGGTTAGATGAGCTGTGTACCAGAGAAGAGAGCGCAGTGAAGGAGGAGAGGGGGGATATTGCTCCCTGGTCACCAGCTGTTCCTGCAGTCTGGGGCACGTCGGATGTTTCCACAGAGAAGGTTATGGGAAGCTACGTTCAGATTATGGCCTGCCCCGAAGATAATGACGATGGCTGTGTTAATCAGGGTGTTGTGGCTGATGTTTGACGAAGAGGGCGATAGGTTAAGCGGTTGTTTTTCGACATGTTTTTAACTCCCGTTTCCTGTAAGATACCTTCAGCAAAACATGGGCTTTTTTTTCTTCTCAGTTGAGTGGGTAGCCCACTCCCCCTGGTATTCTGTCCCTCCTACACCATCACTACACACTGGTTAAAGTTTCTCTCATTGGAAGTTGTTTTTCATGTTTCTTCCTCTGAGAGTTGTTTCTGCACTAAAGGAACCAACAGTGATAGTAAAACCATGTATTACATAGCAGCAGGTTCTGGGTGGACAGTTACATTTTTTTTTTTTTATTTAAGAAGCCAGGTGTTTAATACATGATTGTTTTTCCCTTTCCCAGGCAACATCTCCCTCTCCCACTCGCCTTTCTACTCCGATACGCACCGCCTTGCGTCTGATAACATACTGCGTCCCCATGACGGAGACCAGGTGGTCCCTTCTTCCCAGAGACGGACAGTGTTTGGGGGCCACCAGAGAGAAGCCAAACCCCTGCCACCGCTGCCCGACCCCGAAGAGCTCATGTCTGATGAGGCGGCCGACAGTGAGGTGGAGTTTTTTACCAGTGACCGACGGCGTCTTTTGCCCAAAAGTTGCCCCAAGGCCATGAGCAGGGTGATGAACAAAGACTTTGGGCAGGTGAATCACGCCTACCAGGAGAGCTCCAGGGCTGGGTCAGGCTCCATGGCTTTCTCCTGGCCCAGCAGAGAGGACAGACCAACAGGTAGAGGCAGTGGGTTTTGGTCCCTAGCTCTCCAGAGAGAAGACCATCAGCAGGTAGTGTATGCAGGCGCAGATTCTCTGTGTAACAAACAGCATGACCAATATCAATCATCGAGACTTCTGGTCTCCTGTTCTGGCCCTTCTTCCAGCACCACTGACCGGCCACAAATCCCTCCTCGTATCCCCATCCGGCCAAAACCTTCTGCTCTCTCAAAGACTGCGAGTGCCAACGAGGAAGACAAACCTCCCAAAATACCTCCAAGGGTCCCCTTAGTGCCACCCTGCCCACCGCGCACCCCGAGTCCCAAGAGCCTTCCGATTTATATTAATGGTGTGATGCCTGCCACACAGAGTTTTGCTGCTAACCCAAAATATGTGAGTAAAGCATTACAGAGACAGCAAAGTGAAAGGGTGCCACCTGCAGCCCAGTTTTCTCCCTGCATTGTGCCCATTTTGAAGGATGGCAGGCAGGCCAGCGCTACGCACTACATCCTCCTGCCGCCTGGCCGCCCCCCGTACTCGGACAGGCGAGAAAGACTCCTGAGCGAACCGGTCCGGACAGGAAACAGCAGCCTCTGGCAGAACCAATAGAAAGCCTCGCTTTTGTCACCGACTGAAACTTAATGGGAAAAAACTGGCTCATTAATAACCATGTGATGTGATGTTGTGTGAACATCTACATGCTACATTCACACGTCTAATGTCGTATTGGTGTTATTTTCAATGACTACAACACTTTGAGGTTTTTGTCTGTTTTAAACTGAAGATTTTACCCATCAGTATTATAGCAAAGTGAAAAACATCATAACATTCCACTATTTTCACTAATAGTGGAGAAATATTTATATTACCATTTTCAATTGTGGTTTTCTGAGATGCTGCAGTTTTTTCTTAGATCTCATTTTTTATTCTGACAACTATTTGCTCAGATAACTAAAACTATAAGAGAGAAAATAATTACTGTATGTACAAGCTGGGCTTGTACTAAACCCTCACCCCATGTTCAGCCATTTTTTATGACAATGCTGCTTGAAGTCTTAGGTATGATGTATGGATGGATTTAATGTTTTGCTCAATCATTCTCACATTAAGATGTATGGTAAATGTAATACAATGAACAACAGTGAAATACTTCCCCTGATACAACTCTTAACTGATGCTTTTAATTTAGTGCACATGCCTCTTGCACGTTATTTGTGCAAGTGCACTTAATTTTTCCTACGCCGCTTTCGCAATCAATTTACACCCTACTAAATCCTACCTGAAGAATACTCAACATGCTGATTTAAGCATCCTCTTTTGAATGATATGCTATGCTAATGTGCACAAAGTAGAATTTATTTAAAGGTACAATTCTGTGAAGAATCTGCAAAATATAAAAACAGCAGTTCCACCACCAGAGTTCACGACTGAAACCTGCAACCACACTCAAATCGATTGACAGGCCCTTTACTACATATGAAGAACACATGAGTTTTTTGTTTTCTGAAGCTGTTTTTTCAGGTTTTTCATAATTCAGTAAAAAAAGTCTTAATTTACAATTATGTTCATGGTTTTATTGTGTATATGCATTTGGCTCAAACAATGTATATACGGTCTGGTCTGTGTGTGAGGGCATGAAAATCATGTTACGTTTACACTGTTGGGGTTTACAGCCTCTGTTACGTCAACAGGTTGGAAGTTCTCATGAAGGTTCTGTGTCAGATTTAGCCCAAGCTAAGGCTGTATGTATGTTAATGTGTTTGTGTTGAAAGTAAATCATTGTAAAATTGTGTTTTTAATCTATTTATAGAAATAAAATAACTTATTCATTCTATGATACGCTCAATGTATTTTTTCTAAACCAGAACTATGTACACCTGACACTTGAATCTTTAGTGATTTAACCATTCAAAGCTCATACACTTAGCCTGCCTTCCAAAAGCAAAGGGTAACATATCACCTCTTAATTATACCAGTGTTATTGCCCTATAACAAATGTGTCCTGCTTTTGAGATAAAAAATAATCCAGATAACAAATAGAGGGGCTAAAGTTAAATAAGCAATATATACACCATGATTTAGAAGAAAAAAAAAAATTGGAATTATTTCTGACCTAAATCGAACATTTTGGAAGAAACCAACAATTTTTGCACTTTCTGAAGACTTTGGAAAAACCAAAACACAAACCATATTTCTGAAACAAATTTTAATGGAGCATCAAAACTAGCTGAGATCGGATCAAAACTTCACACCAACCAGGAGGATTGATGTACGTCAAATAAAAGCTGGTCATTTTCTTTTGTGAAGCATGTGATGTTGACACCAGAAGGACATTGCCAATCTTCAGAAAAGCACAATGAACTATTTCTGCATTATCTGCTAACATTTCATACAGTTAATTTGTTATCAACAAGTCACTTTTGGGTATCACGATCATTCCGCAGGCTAAAACAAATCATGCTCACATCTTCGTTCTCTCTTATCTTTGACCTCCCGTTTCTGTATTCCTCTCCTTTAGAGTGTTATCATGAAGCAGAAATGTCACAAATGTAATCTTAAAAAAAAAAAAACTAACATTGCTTAAGCATCTAAATTTCACATGTGTGGGAATTTCCAAACTCCACAATTTAATAAATTCAAATCCGATTCATTCAAAATAATTAGTTATTTGTTAAACATTTAATCAAAATGACATGGCACAAAAACAGTTATTCTTACTATGAAATTCCATGTGCTTGCAAAATAAGTTAAAAAATAAACACATAAAACCTATATTAATCCCCCGTCCCACCCCCCCGCCCCTTCCCTGCAGTTCTTATGGGCATTGTTGATCTCTGGCCTGTGTTTTTCTTCAGGCACGGCCTCAGCGCCTCATCTCCCCGGGCTGAGGTCCTTCGAGCAGCCTCGGCTGTAAGAGATGGGATTGTGACGTTCACTTTACCGCCAGGCCCGGTTGAGCAGTTTGACTTCTGCCAGGCGTTTGCTGATCATGGTGGCGAAGAAAAGAGCTAAGAGAACGCTGCTGATCAGCATGTAGTCGTAATCGTCTTTTAGTACGTCAAACTGCTTTGAGGGATACACACGAGTCTGGTAAATGTCCAGTCCATATGCCACCACCTACAAGGAAGAAAAAAAAAGAACATGGCATATTTAGGTTTAAATTACCCAAAGGGAAAATAACTCATTTTGTCTCAGTGTGGTGTTAAAATGATATTCTGCCCGTGGCTTTCAAAACCAGTAATAAAGCACTTATCATGAAGTACTGTCAATAGAGACTAAGATAAGCTTATAGAGGATAAACACATCATTTAAATTCAGGCACACAGTGGCACTTCTGGAAAAACAATATTTTCCATTAAATCATTCAATATTTTTTAATAGGCTAAACAGTTCCAAAAATCAAGAAATGCCTTCCAACCGTGGTTATCATCATATCATCTGTTTGTTAGCATCGTAATGGCAGACTCACCAGGCAGGTGGACTCCAGTCCAGAGGGGGCGGTGTAAATTCCTCGCACTCTTGTCACCGTCTGGTTGTAGTTGATGAACCACTCTGAGCGGATCAGCAGCTCTGGTGCGTACGGAATCAGGTTCTCTTCTCTGGAAAGATCAACTCAACAAGTTAGACCGAACAAAATAAATACAAGTAATTGAAATGTTTGAAACCATGCCTGACTGAGGGACGTACCGGCTTTGCTCCGTTACTATTTCTGGCCTCCGAGGGTCCAGGAACATCTTGGGTAATGACAAAATCCCTCCTGATGGCAAACCAACTATAACAAAAGAAACATATTTAAAGAGGCTGAAAATAGTTCGAAAGGTTTGTTACTCTGAAACAGTGACACTCTACAGCCCATAAGCCTCACTGTGACTTACTGAGCAGATGGCGGCTGGTGATGCCCTTCTCAGTCAGTGTGGCCTCCATGGTAGAAATGGAGGAGGGGAAGATGTAGGACTGCTGAAGCACCTGAGGAGCGTGGGGTCGATCCAGTGAGCTGAACACGGTGCTGTTGTACAGCTCCATGCCTTCATACAGCTCGATCACAGAGAACTCGTTCCTGCGGGACTTGGTGCTCCAGTATTCGTACTGCAGAGTCAAACAGACACAATCAGAAGACATGACCCACAAAACACCAGCCTTTTTCACCTTCAACATGTTTTTATTAATGTGCTCAGTGTATGACTACAGTGTGGCTGCTTATACAGCTGCAGTGAGCCAATATCGTACAAGAACCCCAAAAAATAAAGTAAAATCACAAAACTTAAAGTGGACCTATCATGCTATATTTGAAAAATATATTGTAGGGCCATACCTATATAAAACATGTCTGTGAAGTTTTTTCTTCAAAATACCAAACAGATCACCTATTGTAGCCATGCCTCATACTGCTCAAACCCCTCTTTTGAAGCCCTGTTAGAGAAATGCAGATTTTGGGTCCTTAGCTTAAAAAAATAAAATAAGAGGAGGCGGAGCTAATGCCTGATCAGAATTCTACCGGAGATAAAGTTAAATTCGGTTGTGATATTTCGCCATCCTGTTTAAACCACGTCAAGGATTATTTCTGAAATAGTATGGAGCTCAAATGCTTTTTCTCTTGCAGGTTTATCACAAGGTGAGTTCTTTTTTTATTTCCTGCTTTTTAAAACACATGTGCTCTTCAATACAGGTTAGCTCTGAGTGTTAGCGAGGCTTGCTAATGTAAACAAAGACGTCCAAAACACGTCAGGCATTGTTTCTGATAGCAACTTTCTGTGGGTCTGCCGCCGATTAGACGTCAGATCGGATGGAATCTGTATCCGCTCGTTGTACACCCGTTTTTAAAAGATTTGGGTACGGAGGAAAAGAGAGAGGGTTTTATTTTCTGACGCTGCGTGAGTTCCCCGACGCACCGGGGACTCATATTTATGTATAAAAGACATCACAAAGTGCATTTTGCATGATAGGTCCCCTTTAAGATATACATTCTTTGTATCATTTTGATAACATGATTTTAGTTCATTTTTACATTAATTGTTTTTATTTGTTAGTTTTTTATATTAAAAGTTCAAGGAAATACACAGTTAATTATATATTTTTTTAAGTTAAATAAATGTATGAAGTTTTAAAGTCAACTAGTTATCGTGTTGAATAATTGGGATGTCAATATAGAGTAAAATAATTGGGATTATACCAAAATGCAGCAGCCCTACTCACCACCACCCAGTTTTCAGAGTGCACAATATGCACGGGTCCTTTGGCCTTCCTCTGAACCGCCTCGTGGATGATGCGTCCGGTTACTCCATCGATCAGGAGGATCCCCATGAAGCTGCGCTCCGGATGTGTGTCGGTGCTCTCAGTCACCACCGCCAGGAGATTGGGGTTGAGGTACTGTAAGAAATGACATGAAACACAGTTCAGCTTCTTAATCACGGTGGAGAAATACACATTTTATGGATGTCTCTGGCTCATCTTGTCCCTGACCGTGAGAACCACCAATAAAGCTCTAAGAGTGGGAAAGACATGAGAATGATGTGTGTCACAGACATGTTGAGTATTGCGGGTTGTAATGAACCTTGCCGTTGCATTAACCTGTGACAGAGCTTTAGAGTTTCGTATTGTTCATTTCATAGATCACGCAGGAACTAAAGAAGGGAGGTTAAGCACCAAAACACAAGAAAACAAGATGTGTTATTGTTACTCAGAGTCAGTTGTGGGGAGAGGATATGATTCACCAGGGAAAGAGGGACAAGAGGTGCAGTATTTCTAGATGAGTTTTCAGTCTATGTCAAAAGACAAGGAGTGATTCATTTTCAAACCCTCTCAACACTTCTTCCAAACCACAAGTGAGTTTTCAGGGGAAGTCATCGTACCTTATAGAGGACACTACGGTCTCCCATTACTCGGCCCTGGGAGTGCACGTGCTCGTTGGGCCTCTTCCCTTTGACCGACACAATCTTCTGCACCTCTGTTGGGACCACCACCTCCCAGATCAGCTCGGTCGACAAGTCCTGAGAGCGAAAAATAAATACAAAAGATTTATTATTTTTGCCATTCATCTGTGATTTAGGTAGAAATGTCATGGTTCATACATATTCGAAATATTCAGAATATATTTTAGTGCTATATATCTTCAAACTCTAAATATATGAATTATTACAATTAATTAATTAATTAAGCGTTTTGAACATGTTTCATTACCAAAATAAAGTTATCAATGCAATTATTACCAATGAAAATATGGCAGCCAAAAGCTGAAGGCTAGTGGTGGCTGGATGCTTTTTAAAACGTGTCCAAAACTCCTGAATCTTCATGTGAAAAAACAATGAAATAATTTAGGAATAAAAACAAAGGTTTAACTTGCCGTTCGCAGCCTGTAGCCAGAAAGTCTTCCCTGGCTGGAGTCAACAAGATAAAAGAAAATGGTTGAGGCTATCTCCTGGAGCTGCTGCAGGACGTTCTTGGTAGAGGGGAAAGCAGAGACCTGTGGAAGAAATGAACAAAGTCACGTGTTGACCAATGTCTGTATCTTTTATGTTGATCTGGCGAGTAAGGAGGTTCAGAGTCTGTCACTCACCTTGTACTGGTCATCAACGAGGAGCAGGACCTTAGCGTAATCCTGGTCCATGACAGGCAGCATGAGGGACTGGAGGATCGGCTGAGGCATAGCAGGGGGGGTGACGTGACTCTTCTTCCCAAAGATGGGATTAAATACATGGAGTGTGGCCAGGCCTGTGTCCTGATGGAAGAAAATAGAAGAAAATGCCATAAATAAATACACAAAACAGTATTCAGCTTTTGCCTGCCTAAAAACCCACTTAGATTTTTCCTGGTATAATGCATGCTCAGTAGAAATGTAAAGTGATATCTGTTGACGTCTCACCATATGCAAGGTACAAAAGTAAGCAAGGATCTGCCAATTTCACAGTGAGGTAATTTGCTTTATTTGTTTATTTTTGTCCGACAAGATAATATGATCTACCCACAGAGCTTTTGTTATTAGATACCTTGTCTTTGATGAGCAGAGTGCACTGAGGCGGATGAGGGAAGTGTGCAGTGGTCCGTTGCACCATCAGTTTGAAAGCTGCATTAGCTGGGATGTTGTCCAAGTAGTGCCTCCATACAATAGTGCCGGTCTTGCTGTCAATCCCGAAAAGCTTCACAGAAAACAGCAAAAGGGAAAACATTTGTGTTTAAGAAAAGCCTGATAGAGTCCTTTTATTATTGTTTAATTTCACTTTAGGCATGCCTGACCACAGGCGCAATAATCTTGGCTTGACAACAAATGTGCAGCACGGATCATCTCTTCTGAATCATAGTAACTGCGTCAAAGCTTTAGTCCTGTACCTTCCCAGAGGCAGTAACCATGACCATCATCTTCTGCAGGTTGAACTCGTCCCTGGAGAGGTTCTCAATGGTCACTTCGTTTTTGACTTGACTGCGAGGCTTGCGCGCATCGTAGAAGAGCTTCCAGAGGTGGCTGATCGACGCCTGCAGCAGGATGAGCTGAGAGGAGAGCCGCTTGAGCACCATGGAAAACAGGCCGTCTAGACGAATTACAGAGAGAAAGGACGCTGATTAATTCATTAAAATGACTATCAGTGGACGGAAAATTACAGCTTGACTTGTTGTTGTATTGTTATTGCAAGCAAAGCACAGGCGAATTTCATTACAATAACAGTAGTGTGTAGCTCAATATAACACTAAAATACTGTAAAATAAAAGTTAAGCCGCTTATTTCTCACATCATTAATAAAACAATCTGGTTTTGTAGAAATAGTATACGATTAAAGTAAATGCTCAGTAGATATGGAGAGGTGTTTTCAGTCAACAATAGTAAAACAAAAGCCATTAATACATTTTATTTTAGAAAAGCAGTTGGGTGTGTTACCTTGAATAGCTGAATCCAAGCGAAGCGATAGAAACAGGACAAAGACAAAAGATAATGAAGCAAATAGCAACCAAGTGAACACACCAGAGAGATCTGTGTTTACCAGGCCAGCAAGCCTGTAGCGACAAAACTACAACATGGATTATTAATGGCAGGTGCAGAGCAGTTGAAGGGAGGAAAAAGTAAACGCAACAATTCAGTGGATTAAATTATTTAGTTCTATATGAGTGGAAAATCTCCAAATGATAAACCAACTAGGCATAAAATCCCTCAGATTAGGAATTGCAAAACTGCCATAAGCTTCTGGAACATGGAAAACATTTTAAGAATTACTGCAGTGAAAACTTAAAAAAAATTAAATACTGGCAGAGATTAGTACTTAAAGCGGTACATCAGGAGGAATGAATATGAAGGGGTTCTGGTTTGACATTTACCAGCCTTTTTGCCAAACTCGCCCTCCAGCTCTGCCTGCGTTCCTGTGAGAGGCAGATCCACCATTTCCATTGTCACCACATCTGACAGGGCCTCCTCTCTGGTCCACATCACACGCCCTGGAAAACAACACTCCTTATTGTTCTGTAATCATTCATTCTACTTTACACACCCTGCCGCTGTATGCCGTTTGCGTTGACGCTTTCCGTCAATTACGACACATTTTCTTTCCCCTCCTGTTTGTGCGTACATTATGAAAACTGACAGACGGCTGGATGTTGCCGGTATTTATGATGATTAAGAAGTAGAATTTTCCCTAATGTTATCAGGAGTTAAAGTATGGATTTACCAGTCTCTTTTTATTATTGGAAAAATTAAATAATTGATCTCAACAGTAAACACAATGAAGGGAAGACTCGTTACAAACTATATAACCCAGCTCCTGACAACAGCTGTATTGAAGAGCAATGCCTTCTTTCTTATACATATTAAAATATTAAAAAGCAAAATGTGAAGATATGAGTTTTTGTGGGGTCTGGCCAAACGACAACCTATTGTTCAGACTTTGGTGCCTCTTAGTGGTAGAATCTAAAAACACACCTTGGACGACAGTTGTGCATGTAAACACCTCAGGAAACATTTTTTGGCAGTTTTTGTATTAACACTAACAAAGCTTCATGGTTTTAATATCCATACCTGGCTGCTGAATGAAAGTGAGTGTGTGGTCTTCTGTCTGCACCATGACCCTGTAGCCAACAGAGTCGTCTTTCTTAAGGAATGCTTGTACATACAGCTGAAACAAAAGAACAAAAATGTTTTGAATTATAAAAAGAAAAACACTGCATGTTTAATCAGATTGAAATTCCGGTGAAGGAAACATGGATCCTCAATGAATTGATCACTCGGATGTAAAAGACACTGGAGATTCACCAAGATGAAATTGCTGACTCACCTCCTCAGGTTTGCCACCATTGGGATCCAAAGGAAAAATCAGTGTTGTGTCCAGAAGTCTGCGCCCTGTTTCTGCACTGAACAGGTTAAGACTGCAAGCCTGTGTGGAAGAAAGAAGATACTCGCATGAATAATAAAATACTTCTTAGTTTTAGGTCAACACACATTGGTTTGTCAAAATTAACAGAACATTTTATTTCCCTGCTGTGGGAGGTATAAAGAGATTCTGAATCTGAAAGTTATAAAACTTGCATCAAGCACACAAAGAGATAAATAAGACTTTAGTAAACCCGCTGATATTCAAACCATAGTTTGCTAATAGTAGATGGTAAACCCAATGCTTAAGAAGTCTGAATGTATGATTTCACAATTACTCACAGTTGTATTCTTGGGTGACATGACAGCAGCAATAGTCTTCTCTCCAGTGGTGGCAAATGAAACCAACAAGGCCTGTGAATCATGACAAATTAGTCAACACTTTACCACTGTTTCTTAGATTAACAATTGTATTACATCAGAAAGTCCCATTGAGATCTGCCCATTTTGTATATAATAAACCAAAAACAATGGCATCAATGCTCAACAAGAAGGACAGTAAGACATACAAAACTGGGACTTCGGCTTCACAGACAGCCTGGCACTTTTCTAACATTATACAACATTTTGTCAAAAAATGGGAACAAATATACATGAAGTTTTTGTGTACTGTGTATATCTGTTTGTTGCCATACGTTTATCTCTTGCTATCTAACCGGCTATAAAAAACTAATATCAGCCCTGGAAAATAAAATATATATCGAAGTGGTCAGGATTATAATTGTCAAAAACCTAATCATGCACGAGAGAAGTGCAAGGTAGAGAAACAGTTACTTACAGGATTGAAATCCCTCAGAGTAACTATCTGACCATCGTTGAGCTGGAGGAGCAGGTATTGTTCTGGCCCAACTTGAAGGAAGAACTCCGACAGCGGAGGACGAGCTGCGTTGGGCTGAGTGGACCTCAGTACTGGCTGGAAACCAGGAGTGACTTCAAGTCCCAGTGACTAGAAGAAAATTGTAAAACATTTACACAGAGAAAAATAAGTAGATGTAAACAGAGATAGTTCCATTGTGTCGGTGGAGATATACAGAGAAATTAGAGCTAAATGGAGTCCTATCCTAACCAGAGAAAAGGAAAAGCATGGTAATTCTAGTATAGCACGTTTATTTTCTTGTAGTTACCTGCAAGGGGATCTGGCTCATCTCTGTCTGTGATTCCAAGTCCAGCATGTACAGGGATACAGTGGCAGAGTCCGCGCACGTCAACATGCCCTCGCCGATCACTGCACAGCTGGCCTGTATGTTAGACAGCCACGGAGCTTCCACTGAGAACTGGAGACAACACAAGCAAAGATGTCAGAAAAGGGGACTTTATTAAGCATATTGCAACAGTACAGCATCCCTTGTAGCATTAAAAAAAGTGTGTTTTATTTATTTCCTCTAAGTATTATAAAAATAATTCTATAATTTCTACGAAGCATTTATATACTGTAACTATTGTATAAATCAAGATTACCTGTCTGATTATCTCTCCGTCATCCAAACTGTAAACAACAATTGCAATGTGGGAATGGGGAACGATTCCCAGGACATACACCTCACCATTTCCACCAGAATACACAGACTGGTAATCCACGGTTTCACTGTTTGGATAGAAAGAAAGACAGTTTAAACATTTTTATAATGCAAATATATTTTGCTTGTTTATACCAGATACTTCTACTGCTGAAATACTACATTTTTCAATGTTCTGCATCATGTTATTGTTAATGCTTGTATTCATATGCTTGAACCAACCACATTAGAAAGAAACAGGTCCACTTGCCTTTCTGGTAGATTTTCTATCCATTTTTGATGACCATTAGAGAGGTAATGGAGAGAGATGGCAGTTTTCTTTAAAACAGCCACGTGCTTCACGATGTCTTGCTGTCCAATTAAACAAGCCGACTGGAAACTAAAATGCAGAACAAAAGCAGTTATCATCTGATCGATCAAAGACCATATTTAGACCTGACAAGTGAAAATCAAGGAGGTAATCACCTGCCAGAATCCAGCACAATCTCCCAGTTCAAACCACCAATATTTATCTCCCAGGAGCGCAGCAGACGGCCATCACCAACAACCAGCAACGCATCTAGGAGACAAGAACAGTTACATTTGCTTTCAATTGGGGAACTAAATGCTCTGTAGGCTTAACTGCTAAGACAAAATCACCTTGTCCATGGTGCAGAAGAGCATCGATTTTTCCCTCCGGCCCAATTGCATCTACATGTCGCCAGACTGTAACAGACAATGAACTGGTATTGATATACGAACACAAGGCATTTCAACTGAGAGGCGGGTGGTCTTTATGTACTTTTCAGTTGCAAATACAAAATACTCACAGAGTTCTCCAGTCCTGATGTTAAGGGAAGCAAAAACATTGTTCTCTGTTGCCACGATAACCTTTTTGGATGACTGCGACTGTGCGTCAAAATTAGAAAAAAGAACCTTGCCAACATACTGCTGCCTCCTGGAAATCAAAAGACAGAAAACAACCGGTCAGAAGGTCAACAATATAAATACAAATGATACGTAAAAGCAAAGGTTGAGTCCCAAAATTGATCAAATCCCATTGGATTTACGAAGGAAAGGAAAGAAAAGAAGAAAGGACTTTTTGTTGGACTTTATAATAGTTATTATCAGATTGATTCAAAGCTTTTCAAATGCATAGAAATCAATATCTATCACATTCACTATAAGTAATTTAGCTTACTGGAGCTCAGAATTAGTAGTCACAAATTGTGAATGAGCCCACAGCATCTGCAGCTGGTAAATAACATGTATTGTATGATTTAAAAAAGGGCCTTTCTCTCACACAAACAAGCCGGGTCGCAGCTTGTGGCTGTGACAGGTGTTAGCATTAGCATTTTTTCATTAAAACATGGCTCAAAATAGCACACATATTTGATTATTTTGTAGACTCCTCTTACCAGTCAAATTTTCCTACTTGATCCTCAAACACAGCCCCGACAGTGCTGCATAATATGACAAAATTCAGGCACAACCCAATTAGCTTTGCCATTGCAGCAGTAGCATTAGCTTGCTCTTCAAGAGGGGGAGCAAAACGAGGAAATCGGAAGTGGACTGGCTTCCTTCAAGTCTGGTGCCTGAGACGTGCTGCCCCCTGCAGGGCGGATGGTACACAGCTTCAATACATGTAATGCAGTAACCTCATATTATACATCCATGGCAGCGCCATATAGATAGAATCTATTATATGGCTCTGATCCATGGTAGCCAGTGACCATGAACATGTTTACATTTCATCTGATGAGTCATTCTCATGGTCATTCTACATAAATGGTGGAAGTACTGTCACTTACTTTTGCAGACACCAAAATACAAAATACTCACATTCATTATTAATGTTGAATACATAGAGATTGTCTTTGCAATGGTACTAAATAAATACGTTTAAAAAATGGTTTTATTAATAAATTGCAATTTATTTAAAATGCCAAGTTCAAGGAACTGCCTTGTCACTTTGATCATACATGGAAGTGGAGCCTATAGTTTAATTGTATAGTTCAATGTATTAATCTGTTAACAATCAACTCCTTTATGGTTCAAAGTAAAAGGTAGTTTGCAGATACAAACTGGCATTGATTTTTACTTCTGTGATCAATGCAACTTATATATAATAGAATAAATTGCAGAAACAAATGTGCAATTTAAAAAAAAAGGTGCTGTCTTCAAATTGATTATTGCATATGATAAAAAAAACACACATTTAATAGACATGTGTAATGATGTTCAAATATCCATTACTTAAATCAAACAATAAAATAATAAAAAGAACACTGTACAGTAGTTCAATGGGAACAAATGAATTACATGTGCGTGATTTGGATAAAGGCAATATTGAATTATACTGTGTGTATATTTGGAAGATTATATTAATAGTATTATACACCTTTATTAATAGTGGGATTACAAACTGTTTCGTATACACTCTGTACATGTTTGGATGGGATGTTGGGCTGACAGTTGACAGCGCCCCCTCTGATTTACTTTCACGGTGTCTTCTACCAGCAGCTAGTTTTTACATGGGATTTCAAGATGGCGTCGAGCGGAGGAGAAGGGGAACACGAATGGACAGCGGCAGTACGGCCGCTTTTATCAGCCTCGTACACCGCTTTTGAAACGAAGGAGCTACCTCAGCTTATCGGGTCTATCATCAACAGGTAACTGGTTACATGTCAATTAGCTGCGGGTCTCTATTTGTTCAAATTCTACCCATGTCCACCCATGAGAGATCTGGCTGGCTAACATGCTAACTTAGCTTGTTTGGTACAGTTCGATGGGAAACGTTACCAGTTGAGCTAGCTTTAGCAGCTAACACGCTACTTGAGCTTAACTTGTACTGGCATCGAATATGCTAACGTTAGCTCACTTGCTCAAATTGCTATTAAGCTCCTACTGGCTGGTAATGCATATACAGTTTGAAACAAAGCTGGGACAATGGCTGGTGTATGTCAGTCTTTAATGGGACATTAAAGAAGCGCAGTCGTCATTTGGCTTCGCAGTGTAAGGTTTTGAAAATCTGCTTCATCATTAGCTAGCTAACACAAACATTAGCCAGCAAGCTACCTAAGGGGCCTTCCAAACGAACTGGTACGTAACGTTGAAATAGCCACAGTAATATTTGACTGCGTCAGCTAAGTTACGTTGGCTTTATTTGGTTTGTGTTGTATGCTCCGCTTGCAATACCAAGTATGCTTTGTGCATGTCAACATGCAATTTATACATTAACTAATAAAGGTTGCCAGTGTTAAACGCTATCTGCTGTGTGTCTGTGGCTGGGCTGGAAGTAGGCGTGGACCATGTACTCCACTTATGTTTGATAAGGTGGTGATGGGTCGCCGTTAATGTATTTTTCAATAAAACTAACTTGGCGACATTGCTGCTTGGTAATAAACCGTGTAGCTGAAACTACAATGAAGCTGGTGCAGGGTCTGTCAACGTCAAGCAGGGGAACGTATATTTGAAGTAAAACTAGACGTACGCTCTTGTATGTGCACATTTCGTCTGGCAAACCACCCCACATTCATCGTCACCATGGAGTGAATAACAAATCGGTAGTACCAACACAGTGAATAGTATGGCTTTTTTAGTGGTGCCATCAGCTGATCACACTGCATTTAAATTAAGAGCTTCCTGGTATTTGTATTGGTTTCATTTTCCAAAGCAACAACAACCCTGCAAATGCATTTAAGTTTCGTTTTCGAATGAAACGTCTGGTTTGGGTTTGCAAAACGGTCAATTATCTATTAAAATGCTTACAGTAGACTATAGTATATAACGTTTGAAACACAATTACAGCTATGTGTCACCATTGCAAGTATTTTCTACATTGTGTGCATGGAATTCAGATTATGCCTAATAGTTGTTTTTAAAATGTGTAACATAATTGTTGGTGTTTTTAAACTGGAAGTTTAGTTGTCAGCATCAGTGGTGTGGCATCTCCAGCACACCCTCCATGTTATTTCACTTTCTGAGAGTTTTTGAGATATGTGTTTTAGATTTAGTTCTATGAGGGTTTTACTAACTAGATGTTAGCATGTAGATCGATGTCTGTATATGTGATTGTGGATACTAAAAACATGCATTTAATGGAACATTTGTGCTGTCACTTGAATACTTTGATGTTCTGGACGCTGTAGAAGGCAATTTGAAAAAAAAATATATATAGATAAGGAAAGAACATGTCCCTGTGAACAATTGATGCTAACACAGGTGGGTCCCTAGCTGTCCAGGTCCACCAACAAAGACTGCTGCGCTTTTTTCTGGAAATATGTGATTTAGAATGCAGAAACAAAATATGAGAGTTTAATGAGATATTTCACTTGTCATTTGCAGTGAATCAGACATCCTTCACCACGACAAACAGTATGAGCCGTTCTACTCATCATTCGTGGCACTCTCTGCACACTATATCACCACAGTATGTGGTCAAAGTAAGTATCTTTTATTTCTCTATTGTGATAGATATTGCTACTTATGTCAGGCACTATATTCAAATGCTACCAGTTGTGTTTTGTACAACCAGCAAATCATTTTTTTTCTATCTCCCTAGTACCGAGAAATCAGCTGCTGTCGGTTGCTGCAGCATGCAAAGTATTGATTGAATTCTCTTTGCTGCGCTTGGAGAACCCAGATGAGGCATGTGCGGTATCACAGGTAAGGGAAAAAAACTGCATTCTACTTAATGCTTATGGTCAATGTGTGTCAGTTTTCACTTTTATTAACTATATAAACCCACATGTTAAATGAAGAAATACGTTGCTTTTTGTTCTTCAGAAACACCTGATTCTTCTGATAAAAGGACTTTGCACTGGCTGCAGCAGACTGGATCGCACAGAAATCATTACTTTTACTGCTATGATGAAATCTGCCAAGTTGCCTCAAACCGTAAAGACCCTTTCAGATGGTAAGTGTCCCTTTTAGGGAAGGATCAAAATTAAGCAATACTAAGCTAATAACGATACATTACTACTGTTAGTAAAATGATTTATTTATTCCAAAAAAGAGTCATTAAAAGATGAATAATAAAGGGACCAAACTAAGGTACTGCCTCTGCTTTTGATTGACAAGAACTGTCCTTTTTGTTCATTTAATAGTGGAAGATCAGAAGGAGTTGCCCAGTGCTGTGAACCCAGAGCTTCGTCAAAAAGAAGTGCAAATGAACTTCTTTAATCAACTGACTTCAGTTTTTAACCCGGACCTTACCACCATCTTGGCCTCCCCGTCAGCATCACACATGCAGGCAAGTGTTGCAGAGCAGCCGTCCTATCGCCTGCTCCACTCTCAGCTACTAATGACAACTTGATTGAGTTAACCAACCTTCTTACTGAAAATAAACAGTTTTTTTTACGATATATGTTGTATGTATGTAATATAATTTGCCTCCTGATTAATCATCAGTGTTTTGTTTTTCCTCTCTCTAATTATAGGCTGAGAGTGATTGCGATGACCAAACCACAGAACAAGCTATTCAGGCCAAAATGAAGAATGCCTTTGTCTCTCAGAATGTGTCTAGCTTACAGGAACTCGGTGAGTATTTTTTTCTTTGTATCTTGTCTTTAAGTGCTGAAGCACATTTGATATCCTTAAGTATTTTTTCCAAAGACTGATATTATAGAAAGATTAAGTGTGAAGCATCTTTCTTGTAGTATAACAGAATCTTGGGGCGTTTTCCCTCAACCTTTTCACATGCAAAATGACTGTCCACCCCTTTTTTCTTACGTCCTTAAGAGTTAACCTCTTAAGGACGATGGTCCCCCCAGTGGACCCCCCCCCCCCCACCGCTTTTTTTCGAGACTGTGTCTCAGGGCTTCTTAACATTTATGAAACTATTAATGTGTAGCACCAGATTAACGGGAAGAATCTCAGCTAACTGAAGATATGAACCATTTTTACCAAAACAAAACACAAGGGCAATACCAAGCCTCTGAATTAGCACTAAGCGAAAAAGTGCTAACGCACTTTAGCACAGAACTCAAGATAAAGATACCCTTATTACTTATCGTAGCTGCACATACTATAGCCGATTAAAGCTGAGACTCCACAGATTATATAGGTATAGGATCATCACTGAGCGATCCGAACTCGCGACAGGGGAAGCAAACACAGACATCACAACACGTACCTTTACAGAGCTTTTACGGGAGATCGTCTCAACGTAGCTGTCAATCTGATCAAAAGATGTGTTCAATGGCATTAAAACGAGAAAAAACGCGGCTGCATCGGTTGATCCATAGGTTAATAATGTATCTGTGGCTTTGAAAAAATTATTTATAATCCATAATTCCATTTTTATGTAAAAATCGGAGCAAAAAAGTTAGCTGCTAATGGTAGCCAACAGAGTGTATGCAGCTTCCGGTTTTGGCCACGCGTCACTCTCACTCCTTATTTGTTAATGTGTTGGTGTGTGTAGAACTTCCCCTCGATTCCATTGGCTCTAGCTGTTATATAAGAGATTTCATTCATCAAAATCGACCAAGGGGGGCCAGAGATATGGAAAATCCACCCAAATGACCCCAGAAGTGTTTTTTTTGTTGCTAAATCTCTCTAAAAAGGTCAAATTTCACTT